TCATTCTTTGCTGCGATCTGGTCATTTGTTCAGTGCTAAATACAAATCTGGTAAGATGTGGCTTGTGCCCCAGTGAGTTTGTTATCTAATTCAAAAGCACAGTATGTGGGGAGATGGCCAGTCTGGAACCTGTTGAAGGTAAAACATAATTTATGGTTGACTGGAATCTTTTCCTGTATGGCACTAGCAGCCTCCTTTAATTCCTCTCCACAAATAATAATGCTATAAAAAAAAAAAGAAATCCCTTCTCACTTGAAGTTCAGAGTGTTTTATATGAGGAGTGAGAATATAGTGTTATTCTTTGCTTATAAAAGGCTTCAGGGGAAAAAAAATGAAAAACCCAACACATTCCTCCTGCAGTGAGATTTATCTTCCACCATGCTCTCTCCAGTGGCTGAGTTATGTAGTCCTTGAAGTATTTCTGGTGGGCTTCAATGGAAAGAAGCACTCACTTCACAGAATTGTGTGTTGAATTTCAGTCATGTACAATGAATTGTTTTGCAGGTAGTCTACCTTATAATCACACAGCTCACAAGATAAGCTGTACTACACAAATCTCTTTTACAGAAAGCTTCTCAATGCAACTCACTGTTAGAACAAGTTTTCTCCTTGCTATTGGAGAGCAGTAATCAGAAAGGACAAAAATCAGCATGTACCAAAAGAAACCCTGTAAATATATTTTTTGTGGTGTAAAAGAAAATAGAGAGACAGTACAGCTGAAATAAAAGCTTTTGGAGCAAATGGAAATACAATCCCTCACCCCACTGGCATAAAGGCAAAGATAATGGCTTGCATATCTATCCAGAGCCTTTTTCACTGCGTGGTTCTCAAAGCACTTTTAGCACTTTTAACACCATCAGTGAGTTTTTTTTCTTTCTAACAGCCCCAGATATAGAAAGTGGTCTCTTCATTCAGGAATCCCTCTCCAGGGGAGGCAGGCAGCTTCCTTTTGTGAGCATTAAGTGTTTTAATGAGGTAGAAAAAGAAGCAGACACAGAGACTGAGTGGTTCTGCCCAGGCTCCCAGACCCTGCTAAGCCAGACAGAACACAGAGAAAAAAATATACTGCATTTACAGCACACATTTAGTGACTCCTGTATTTGCAAAGGTTGACTCAAATCAGCCTTAAGAGTTTTGTCTCCAGCCAGTGGAGCTATGACAGTTGAAGCTGGTGAGTTTAAACTGAGCAGTACCTCTCAGTAAATATTATTTTATTCAGACAGAACTCTTCAATATGTTGTATTTGTTGAACATGGCAACAGCTATAATATTAGATAAAGGAAGACACATCTGCTTCTTGTAAGCAAGAGTCTATATTCTATTGACTCTGTAAACTGCAGGGGGGAAAAAAGAAAAAAAAAATTGTAAACCACACTGATTCAATGCACTCAGCTGTGAGAGGTTTGCAATGCCTTAGACAAGCTGTAGCACATCAGATATGAAACTTCAGTAGCTTCACAATCAGTTTTATTACAACTGTCCATAGAGTAGCAAAGCATTAAGGATAAAATAGTGCCAGACAAACTTTATTCTGTGTAAATAGGTTAATCATAACCTATTAAAACCAGATTTCTCCTCATCTCACCTTTATATTACACTGTGGAAACCCTGTAAATTTTTTGCCAGTTTAAATGACAGTAAACAAAGGCAAGGAAGAAAGAATAAAATGTTTTGTAAAGTTTTACTGTACTTTTAGATAGCTTGTGCTAGGCTAGGGATGGGGTAGATAAAGTTCTCTCAGAAAGTGAGATCTAGACTGAGAAGTGGTGTTTTATCAGCAGTGAAAATATAATGTAATACACAGATTTTTTTTTTCACAATCAAGAAAAAGAAATGTGATATACAAGTACCAGATCTAGAAAACAATAATGTGATACATAAGGACTACTTGTATTTAAATAACATAATTTTAAAAGAACTGTAGCATAATGATTCGGAAGGTCACTGATAGGTCATCTAATGCTCACCTCCCCATCACACAACACTCATAGTTGTTCTGTGTGTGTGCACATCCTTTATTCAGCTGCAGCAGTGCAGTGTCTGCATTTGCCTGACACCCTGTGCAGGCAAAGCCAGCTCAGATGGGGCTTTCTGTGGCCAGAAGCTGTTGTGTGTGTTCATGGGCTTTTCCCACTATAATGGCTCTGCATCCTGCACAGATGAGACAGGCAGGGTGAAAAGGAACCACTGCAAAGCTGCTGTCAGAGGAGGCACAGAAATAAGTCCCAGCTGCATGGATAATGAGGTAATGGCCTACCAGAAAGAGACATTTAATTTTATCTGTTCTGACAAGCCATTTATTACTTTGCTCTGTTAATGCCGAGCCAAAAAAGAACAACAATATTACTTCTGGTTCTGATCATAATTTGTAAGACTTGCTGGCTATTACAAAACCATTTTTAAAGAATACAGTGTCAAACTACCAGAGTTTGACACTGCAGTTGTATTTTCAAATGTTGAAAGCGTTTTTCAGAGCAAAGGATTTTACAGGCCCAGAGGTTTGTCTCCATAGCAGCCTAACAAAAGATGTTACTCTCATATTTTTGTTCACTGGCTTTCATATTCAAACAGACTTTTCATAAATGAAATGCACTGCAAGGCTTTTTTTTCCTATATGAAAAGGATTTTTTTGCTGAATTTAGTGAACTTTACATTTGATGTAATTTGAATGTTGTTCATTTAACTGGAAGGAATGATGATCTGCCAGTGTGGTGACAAATGGCCAGTAGATGGAGGGAGCACATAGAAAACAAGCAGAGCCTGCAGAATTTACTAAAATGAGGTTCCAGTCATTGTAGGAGATGATTAGCAGGGACAAGATGAATAGATTGTCACACAGACTCCCTGTCCATGTGGGGGCATGGGATGCCCCTAATCCACCTCGGCCTGATTCTTTTCCCCAGCTCTGATCCCACCTCCATCAAAGCTATGAATGGGCTCCTGAAAACTTGATAATCACACTACTGCTAAGGTCCTTAAATGTATTCCCTTGTTTGGTCATAGCACCAGTGGAACACAGAAGATTTACAAAGGCAAGCAATTAGGAATGAGATCAGTTGAGAGGGCACCCTCTGTGAGACCAGGTGAAACCAGACCCTGGGGTGGGAACCACTCTAAAGTGGATCCAGCTGGGCCAGGGTGTGCAGCAGTGTCCTTTACATGTAATCTTAGGGAGGAATGTTTTAAACTTGGGTGGAGCAGTAACTGAGAGACAGCCAGGAGAGCTGCAAACCCACTCCTGAGCCATCTGTTTGCTGAAGTGCAGGAAGGTTCATGGACCACATGGGTAGCAATTACCTGCTACTCTTCCAGCTCTCAAAGGGTGGCAAACAGAGATCTGGCAGCTTCAGTCGATGCATTTCACAGAACAGGGGACAGAGCCCACAGCCTTTGTGATGTGGTTTTCTGTGTGAGTAGCCTGATTATCTTTTTTCCTAGACTGGAGGAAGAGGAAATGGTGGTGGTCCTGCACTACAGCCAGTCTCTAATGCTAGTGTCAGCCCCCAGAAGGGCCAGTGACTGAGTTAGTTGTGGGGAGTTTGCTTTGGAAAGGTGTCAGAGAATGGCTTGGGAAAGAGGAACTGAGAGAGGAGGACCCTGAGCTGCCTGGGGTAAGTGTTCACTGCCACATTTGTTCTCTTTGCTGCTGCTATTCCAGGGAAGCTGCAGCACACAGACAAGGGGTACCTCGGCCACAACCTATATATAACCTGTAATGAGAGGTTAGCTTTTATAAGAGTTTAGTTTTAATAATAGGAGGTCACAATTATATTCCCATGCCTACTACCATGTGAGCCACATAAATTATGCACAGCAGAAGAAAAATTAAAAGTCTTAGTGAGTGTATAGTGAAATTTTAAAAAGATAAACAGAATCAGATCTAAGATTAAAGTGCTATAATTGTAAAAACCTTTTTCAGCATAACATTTCCTTGCAACTCTGGCACTGACAGTTTTACATGATCAGGCTATTGCACCAAATAATCTGGACTATAAATCTTATTGCTTTATTATGTAAGAAAACCCTTCAAGGATTTCTCCCAGTATCATCCATTTGCATTCTATTACTCAGAGACTTTAAGGTTTTAATAAACGGAAGAAGTGAGGTCATGCAAGATTCTTTCAGGACTTCCATATATTTTTTGACAAAGAAAACCAAAAAATAAAGGAAAAAAACCCAAAACAACCAATGAACATGGAAACTTACAATTCCATTCTGTACACTGAAGCCCAGCTGGTATTTTAAGTCTGGCCGTTTTATGAGGACAGTAGTAACAGGAGGACAGCTGACAATGTTCAGTTTGACTTGTGTCTGATTCTTGAGTCCCTGTAAGATATTTCAAAAGTCAGTATTTCTGAAATGAATCTTGCTGTGCCCTTCTCTGTGATTTCCTAATTGCGAGAGTGTTAAACAGATGATCTGAGAAAGCGAGAGTTAACAGAAATTGATTGTTAACTTAGAGATACATTTCTCTTATTTATTTCCTAAGATATTTGGCTCAACAAAACATTAAAATTTTGCCTTTAATTACTACAGAAATTTAAACAAATTTTCCAATAAAACCCAAAACTGACTTGCTCTTTCCCATCATATGGCTAATTAATCTCCTGCTTCTGCTGCTCTTGGTAAATCTGCACAGACATCAGATTCAGTCTCAGTGACTAAAGATAATGCATTCTGGGATTCCATCGTGTCTGCAGATTCTTCATTTGCTCACTTGATCTGTCCTGCAGTCTTCCAGCCTCCATCCATTTTATCTGCATGAACCCAAAAATGATTAGGAGATTTTAATCTTCATATTTTATTATGGAGGCTGTGAGGAAGCTTAAAACTTTGAAGACTGAGTAACTTAATTCAGGCAAGCTTTACAGACCTGACCTCATTTGTCATAGCCCAGTAACAAAACTGCAGCTCTCCAGCCCTAAATTTCTGTGTATTATCACTCCTGAATCTCCAATTCTGCTTTTTGTTAATGACAGATTACTGATTTTTTTTTGCAGTGATATGAAAAATTGTATCTGCTGGAAATCTACAGGATCACTTGTCAGAAGATTACACCTCTGTTGGCCTATGATCTACAGCATAGAGTTGTAAGTTTGGGGTACCTTTATGATGCCTTGGCATGTTGCAAGAGGTAGACCAACTAAACTGGTACCATTAATGGACATAATTTGGTCTCCAATGCTCAGTTTTCCTGAACGTGCTGCAGGGCCTCCATTCATCATGTTGGCCAGGATAACGGTGGGTAGAATGGATCCCCATCCAGATTCCACAATCACTACCCCAAGAATTTCTCCCTTCTGTTTTTCTAGCTGGAGCTGCAATTAAAAAGGAAAAACATTTTTTTTGCTTTGATTTTTCTGACTTTGAGCATGAGTATCTCACTTGTTCCCAAATAACATCTATAAATCTCAAACCAAATTCTCTTCTTTGCCATTAGGTGGTAGCATGACTTTGAATGTTAACTGGAACACAGCTGTTTGTTTTCAGGGGCATCCTCCACCTGTTTCTTGAAGGCCATAGAGGTTTAATAAGGAAAGCACTAACACATGGTTAACTCTGTAGGAAGTGGTGGAACTGGATGCCAAGGGAATGAATGCTAAAGAACTTTCTGTCCATGGAACCTGGCAGCCAGAGAGGGAGGCTCTAACATTTTGTGGCTAAGGTAGTGCCTGCAACCCAGGCTTTGTTCAGCTCAACTCCTGCCAGTTCTGCTCAGGTTGTCTCTTGATCTCAGGGCTTGTCTGTCCTTATTTTCAGACAAGGATCTATTGAATATTATTAACATTATTATTATTAATATTGTTAATTATTGGATATACTCATGCCTAGCATGTTCATGTAAGATCCCTGATGTGACATAAATGAGGCCTTCTCCTGAACTGGCAGTAATCACAGCACAGCTAACACCTATAAAGTGGAACAAAAGTTTAAGTAGAGAACATGCTCTTGAGACAAATACAGGGAAATATTTTCTCTCAAATGTGGAAGGACAGGGAATGCTGATGGCCAGCTCACTTCTGCTGAGGTTATCTATTTCAGAAAACCACAACTCTGTCAGCTCTTTCTGTATCAGTACTTAGGTGAAACATAAAATCACCTTACACTGTGTACTGTGAATAGCACAGAGCTTATCTAGCTCAGATGTAGATGTCCTTTATTGCTGTTCTGATCAATGGAAACAGAAAGATCCTGAACATGAAAACAAGAAATCCTAATAACCCATAAAGCTGGTTTTAGTACATGGGACTGATGAAGGACACATCTTGAAATTGTATAAATGCCAAAAAATATTTATGAGAACTACATTACTCTGAAAAAAATTTATTAATCTGAAATGAAAATCCAAAACTAGTTTACCTCTTTGCAGTTTTCTGAATTGGAGAAGTGTATGAGATCATCATTGTACATTTCTTGGGTATTGATGATGTCACTGTATTCTTTCTGACTGAGATCCTCTGGGTTAATTCCATTGGCTCTTAAAAATTCTTGGTAAGCCACACTGAAAGCCTGACCAATTGACTGAGCTATGAGCTGTGCCTAAAACATAGAAAAAAGCAGCTCAGAGAAAGGACAGATTAACAGTTTACCAATGAAACCACGAGAAACCAGGAGAGAGATTAGATTTTTAGATAGAATCAAAATGAGGATCCTGCAAAGTTTCTGCATTAGCATGGATATAAAGTCACTTTAAGGTCTGTTGTACAGAAAGAACCCATTCCATCCAAAATCAAATTGCAAACTCCATTAAAATCCCCTGCTGCTCTCCCCTCCTCAGTAGGCTGCAGTAGCAAGCAGCCATATGTGCTCATGTACTCGTTCCAGTGCACACTGGAGTCCTGGCTGCAGCCCAGCATGGAGCAGGGCTGGTGGAAGAGTGCCATGAGCTCAGCACAGTCTGTCTGCAGGGTGAGGGGAGGAGGGCTGCTCTGCTTGCCCCTGCCTGCACAGACGTGTGCACTGATGATTCTGCTTGTGGTGTCTCCTGCTGCTCCTCCTCCCTGCTTTTCCAGGACTGAAAACACTGCTTCAACAGAGCCATCTGCTCCCCTACTACTGCCATGATGGCTGTCCCACATTCCCAGCAAGCCAGCAATAGCCCTGCTTACCCACTGCACATCTGGGACAGCTATTCCCATTAACACCTTGACTAGTGATGGCAGGGATCATTTCAGGAATGCAGCCAGAGCCACCATTAAAGCTTGCTAATGTTGGGAACACCCGTTCAAAAGCCCCTGTCTTTCTTAAATTTTGGAGCACTTATCCACACATTCCACTAGATGGCAAGGGAACACAGAGAAACAGAGATCAGTAAAAGGAATGTGTAGTCACTTTTTCTACATTTGAATTATGTTCTTCTCTACTCTTGAGTTTACTGCAGCTCACAGGAGAATGCCATGTTGAGTTCTGTATATTTGTGGATCATCACTAGTGGGGTCATTGGGGCATATGAGTAACTCCCGATGATATGAGACATTAATTGCACCTTACATGCCTTAAAAATATTACTAATCAAAGCTATATTATGGAAATGCAACATAGTTTCTTTGACAGTCAGTACATTTTAAATGCATTTCAAATGCATGAGGTTTTCTGGACATTATAAATCTGCATCTTCTTACAATCTACTGATCAAGTGTTTTCTTTGATGCTATGAGGTTGTTTCGTTATTTCATTTGTGCTGCTGTGCACAAAAACACCAATCTGACTGGAAATGACTTTGGAAAATCAAGGATATCAGTCACAAAGTGTTTCTTCATATTTTAAAGCATATTTTCAAGTCTTCACTCTATACCAAGAGGTTTGTACGGAATCACAAAATGTGCTGAGTTGGAAGGGACTCATCAGGATCATCAAGTCCAGCTCCTGGCCCTGCACAGGACATCCCCAGAATTCCACCCTGAGAGCATTGTCCAAACACTTCTTGAGCTGGGTCCGGCTTGGTGCTATGACCACTGCCCTGGGCAGTATGGTAGTACAGAAATCACTCAGGTGATTTTCATATCATTCCATTGTTAAAATTCATCACTCATTACTGAGTCCTTCTGATCTTCATTGCTACTGCTTTCTCTGTAGTTCATCCTCTGCTTTTGCCTTCGTGCTACATTCCCAAAGCAAACATCTCCAGGTGTCATGCTCTATTCTATTGCTGCCAGTAACAGCCAGTTCTTGCATCTTAATTTCATCTCGATCTCTGAGGTCTTATGAATGTCTATGAAAGCATTATACACAATTTAGAGATAAAGTAATTAAGTTGCTTGAAAAGGTCACCCAAGCAAAGCTGTGACCAGAGCTCAGCTAACTGGGTCTCAGAACAACCCCAGTCTAGCACTCTAACCTTTAGACAATGCCATTTCTCCTTCACAGGCTTAATTGTTTTAAAATAATGGAAATGGATTGCTTAGCTCAAAATATATGCAACCTCTGAGTTATGACTGTCTGACCTAAATAACTCAATTATTTTTTAATTGGTATTATATCTAAATATATACCTAGATATTGTATCTATAACCATTCCTGTAATAACAGTGATGACAAATACTTAGCACTGCCTCTTACTGTCAAGTTAGTAACAGACAACAAATTTTGCTTTTTCTGTTTAACTGGCTTGGTATATTTTTCCATAAGTGTTTTAGGTTGAAGTCCTTTCTCTGCCACTTCAGACCAGAAGTACCTAATTCACTACAAATCCCAAACCTGGTTATACAACAACAGTAAAGCAAGGTTATCTTCTTTTGTCACAAGAGGTATGGGATGTCACATCAGCACTTTCACAGCAGTGAAACAGGATGTACAGCAGAGATGGACAGAACTCTATGGTTCTAATGGTTCTAAAAATTGTTCTAAAAAATTCTAATCAATAATATTTGCTAGGGATGAGGAAAAATAACTAAAAAATAAACAGCTGAATGTGGTGCTAAACACCAGAGGATAAAGTGCCATGTTTGAAAGTACATGCAAGTACAGGTCAGTAGCCTCAGGGAACCAGGACTGAGCTGAAGGCAGCCTTGTGCAGCCCTGCCAAGGCAGTAGAAGCGACTTGGCTTCAGTTAGGAAGAGGTCCAGAATGGTTCCACCTCATGTGGAACCATATGTGTCATTTTGTGCCAACCCACTGGACTAAAGGATATAATCCAGGATGCTGATCAATTCGATATCCTACAGGTTAAGTTTGCCCACTAATGGCCTTTGGCTTCAGAGCTCTCTCCATCACCCATGTTGTTGAGATAAATTGATTCCATTTACTTACATCCTCTGATTCAAAGACGTGGCAGATCATTTTGTACTGCTTCTTGCCCTCCTGGGCCCCAGGAGTGGTTTCAATGCAGTCCTGGGAGGCGGATCTGGGCATGCGGCGCCGCGCCATCAGCACCACGATGTTCCCGATGTCGGCGATGTAGGAGATGGTGCGCAGCGCGTGGTCCATCATTGTTTCCTGCACAGAGCAAGGACAAACAAAGCAGTTCTCCATGCCTGCTGCTCTCCTGCAAATTCTGCATCTGCCCTCTCCTTGGCAGTCTGCTGCTTGAGAAAGACAAAAGCTGCAAAAGCACTTCCTATGGGCCCAGACCTGATAATCCCTCCACAGTTGAAGGGAAGCATTGTAGCTGTTCAAGACATTGCTTCAGTGGAAGTGTTGCCTGAGCAAATACAGCATGGTTGCTGCTGTAAAACAAGAATGAAGAGCTATGCTACTGTTTTACATTTCTTTTCATGCTGTTGGAAAATGGTGTTATTTCTTTACATATTTTGCTGATGTTAGGACAAACTGTACATAAAGAAATATAAAGGGCACACTTGAAATCTGCTTCTGGCTGGGGTCACTGGTCAGTTTGGAGAGTTTTTCCAGGTTTTATCTATTGCTCAAACTAGAAACAACCAGAAGCATAATAGTTGTACTAATCAAACTAGTTGAGGACGTGTCCTGACTGTCCCTGACCCTCACTCTGAAAAGCTAAAAGCATCCACCAAATTCCATCATAATTGGAACAAAATAACGTGGTACAAGATAATTCACAATTTTAATAATGTATATAAGCAGCAGCGCTCTTTATGTAAACAGCTTGGCATTAGTTTTGCATTTGTTGAACAATTTTCTAAGGCCTAAGGAAGATGGATTGTTCTTCAAGTCAACAAAAGTAATTGTTTTAAGAATTTCAGTACAAATTGACGTGACAGACAAAACTACAAATTATCATTGTTTCTCAGAACCACTTGTCTTGCTGAAGATAATCACTACCCATAAAATTATTGTAATGATTCTTCTCAGGCTTGAAATAATGCTTATCCCTAACCTATGAAAGGTAATGATGGTTAAGAGGTGGTTTGGGAAGTGTCTCTAAGGGCTGCAGGGCCTCAGGAGGATTTACAGCACTTCTGTCAGAATGGAGAAATGTTTTATAATGGACATGTCTCAGCAGGATGTTGGGAGCTCTGCGGAGATAAGAGATAATTGCTTTTCAGCAGTGTGCACCAAGTATTGTGTAAGGGTGTAATCATACATGCAGTGTGCACAGGAGTGAATGCATTGGGAAAATGAAGGCATTTCATCTCACCTGCCAAGAAAGGCTTTCTGCCCATATCATCACAGAGAGGTTACTTAAATGGTTTGAGTTTTTTTTATTTTCCCCTTGTAGGGGTGAAAGCAATTATTCCTCCATCCCTCCCACATTTTTCCTGTTAGAGAATAAGGAAAATACTATCTAGTGACTGTAAACATGAGTTTACTTTTGACTTACTTGTGACTTGACTTTTTCCTTTCTCTCTCCATATTCCATTGTACTCAAATTTCCATTACCAATATTTCTTTTTCACCCCTCTCCTTTGTTACTTTCCCATAAATTCCTCCATCTCTGCCCATTTGCCTCTCTGTCCTTTCCCTTATCCCTTTTTGAGTCCCATCCATTTAATCCTTGTTGTTCTTATATTTGTCCTTAGAAATTCAGCCTCTCTCAGGCTTTTCTGAAGCCATTGTTCTCCTATCTAGATTGCCCTTTCTCAGATTCTCCCTTCTTTCCCATGGAATTCTTTAAGAATCTTGTTTGTTGCTTCTCTTGAAACCCAAAGAACAGCTGAAGGAAAAAACCTAAGCATTCCTCCAAGCTTTGAAGTGCTGTAGTCCTGTGGGAGTGTGAAGACAGCCTAATGAGTCAGACGATTTTGTGGAGCTGATCATGCACCAGAGGCTCTGCACATACACATTTCTGAGCTCTGTATCTTTATTTTTCTTTCTTCATTTCCCCAGTTGCCTTCACTCCCAGCATGTCTTCACTGACTGAGCAAGAAGCTGGGAGAAGCTGTTTTGGCTTCTGCTGCTTTGGGGCACTGAGTGCAACCCCACAAAGCTGTGCACAGGGAAGAATTCCTGTTCTATCAACAAGGCACGTGGCCAAACGTAAGGCTGCTCCTACTTCATCCCTCCTAAGCAGGTGCCCAATGGCTGAATGCATTCAGCAGCTAAATGCAGAAGCAACCAGGAAGTGGCAGGGGTGGCATTTCCTAGTGCTGTTCAGGGCAACAAATCACCACTGCTGGCTCTCTTCCAGCCTGGGATTGCACCTGGCTGGTGCTGCTCAGCATTTTGAACCTTGCTGCATGTCATTTTCTGAATGGAAATGTTACATTTTCATTCAGCTGTTGCCTCACGTGAGCTATACAACACTACAGATGGATTAAAACACATGGCATACTGCAGAAACAGGGTTTATGTAATTGATAAAGCCATGAAAGTACAGATTGTCTCTGCCAGCTGCCACCACAGCTGAAATAGACCCATGGTAATTATACCAGCCAGGAACCTTCACTAGCACTGAAAAGTGTTACCAAGCCAAAAATGCTAAAAAGTCACGGGAATAATTCTGTATAGCTCTCTGAAAGACATGCTGTAAAAAAAAACCAACCAAACAAAACCAAACAACCAAAACCCCAGGGCAAACACTGGAGAGCTTGGAATTAGAACAATTTCCACTATTACTGTTTTCATCTGGTTGAACAGCTCGGATATTAGACACCACTCATGATGGAGCACTGCATTTTGTATCACTATGAATCTCAGGGGATCAGAAGAATAAGATGCCAGTTCCTTTGACTGTTTGTGGGCTACTTCAAAGAACCTTCCCTTTTTATTTCTAAAAACATTGGTGTTCAGCTGAAATGCTGAACTATTTAGAGAAGTAAGAAGAGTGATTTCCACTAAGACTAATCCTCACTCAACACAGATACTGTACGTGCTAACTGTCCTGCACTCCAGCTATAAACTGTAGATGTTTATTTATCAATAACTATCTTTGCTAGTCATCTTTGCACTGATAATTATGAACATGTTATTTTCTGCTAATGCAAGAAGCTTTGATAATATAATCCCTGGGTGATGCATGTTTGCCATGAGGTGAAGAAAAGGCTGAGCCACGAGTGATAGTGGTATTGCTTATGGTGGATAAAGTGCAGTTTCAGGATGATTTATGGGTGGCAGGTTGTAAATATTGCTGCCCATGTTAGATGGGCTATTCCACTCATGTGGCTCATCTCATGGGAGCTCTAGTGGCATGTTAAAGACATTTGCTTATGTTAAAAGAAAAATAATCCATTTCCTGGAGATACTATCATTACCTTCACATTAAAGGA